TAGCCCTTATAAACCCCAAACCCTAAACCCAAGCTTTCGCGACCCCTGAACCCGAAGCCGTGAAAGGAGACATCAACACTCCTGAAGCATAACGCCCGATGAAGTCCATTCAACCCTAGACCCCTAAACCCCAACCCCCTACTAAACCCTACACTGAACCCTAAACCCTAGACCCCTAAACCCCAAACCCTAAACCCTAAACCCTAAACCCTAAACCCTACCAAACCCTAGACCCTTAAACCCCAAACCCTATACCCTAAACCCTACCAAACCCTAGAGCCTAAATCCCAAACCAAGCAACCAGGCCTCGAAGCTTTGATGCGAAGCGCTCGCATAGAGCTCCCAGGCAGGAGCGAGTCTGAAAATTCGATCCTACATTTAGGGTTTAGGGTTTAGGGTTTAGGGTTTAGGGTTTAGGGATTTAGGGTTTAGGGTTTAGGGTTTAGGGTGCAGCCCTTATGGGTTCCTCTAAGGGCTCCTTTTAAGGATTCCTTTGCGGGTTCCTTTAGGGGTTTAGGAGTTTCGGGTTTAGGTTTCTGAGTAATACTCTGTTGCCCTTTTGCTTATTGGGCTCCCTTATTCACACCAAGTGGTAGGAACAAGGTTACCCTCATCATCAAGACTACTGCGGAACCTAATGTTGATTTATAGTAACCCGCTTGGTAACCCCTTACAGGAACCCTTGTCGCAACCGTTAAACTGGCGCCCCGGACCTCAGTGGATCAGTTCGCGGACTCGCCCTTAGAGTACCCCGTCTGTGGATAATTTTCAATATTAGGTCCCGTTTTAGGTTTTGGGCTTCATAGGCTCGGGGCTGGGTTGGGGTTTAGGCTGTTGTGGTTTGCGGTTGTTGGGATAATTCCCTAAACCCTAAACCCTAAACCCTAATAATAATGCCCTAAACCCGAAACCCTAAATCCTGATCATAATGCCCTACACCCTAAACCCTGAACCCTAAGCCGTTTTTTTTGGGGGGGCAGGAGGGGGGGTGAGGGCTTCAGCAATACATGGCTTTCTGCAGCACCGACTTGGAAGAGTTATGGGGTTGCTTTGCGGCATTATTTTTAGGGTTTAGGGCTTAGGGCATTATTATTAGGGTTTAGGGTTTCGGGTTAAGGGCATTATTATTCGGGTTTAGGGTTTCGGGTTTAGGGCATTATCATTAGGGTTTAGTCGGAAGATTCCCATACCTTCAACCCTTTGGCCTATACACCCTGCACTTTCAAAAGCGAAGCTTTCGACCTAAACCAGAAGCCCAACATCCGTCGAAGCCCTAACCCTAAACCCTGGACCACACCCGCAGAGAAGCTTTCAGCCTTTTCGAGGCATCTCCACTTCACGAGAGCTGCGTGGGAAGCTGTCGAATGTCACTGCACCTGCCCTGTCCCAGTTGTAGGGTAGTGGCTCGGTGCTGAATTCACCCGACTTGAGTGGGAAGCTGTCGGATTCCGTGGCACCTCCCCTGTCCCACTTGTAGGGTAGTGGCTTGCTGTTGCGGACTTGGGCCCCTTCAGTTCTTATTCCGGTCCAGCTTTCAGGCTTCAAATGTGAGGGTTGAAGGGGCCAGAGTGTTTCACAAATCTTTCAATCGAAACTTGGCAACTGCTGCGTTCTTGTTCAAAAGCTTGTTTAAGATACCCAAACTAGAGCAGCATAATGTCCTTACCATCGTAACCTGGACACCAGTTCTTCGCAAAGCCAGAATGCTACGGCGCACTTTCCTTTTGGCGCCCTGCAGTCTGCAGAAAGGATGCGCAGTCCTTCGGGTCCTTTGGGGTTCTTAACTCAAGGGGTGCCTGATCCAAGTCAGAGTTCTATACTAGGGTCCGCTGTTGTCTGAAACCCCCACCCTAAACCCTAAACCCTAAAATCATAAAGCCTAAACCCTAAACCCTACAATCTTACACTCTAGACCCTAAACACTAAACCCTACAATCCTACACCCTAGACCCTAAACCCTAAACTTACCCTACAATCCTAAAGCCTAAACCCATCTTCCACACCATGGTCAAGTTCCGCCGTGTGTTCAGGGGCTCTAACACTAACAATATCAGTAACAAGAATATAGGGTAAATAATTACCAGTACTAGTCTGCATTCAGCATAAATCAACATGGAGCTCGCTGTTATGCAAGATTGACGCGGAGTGAGCAGTAGCATGAGTAAGGAAGTAGGCTAGCGCCGACGACTTGCGCACTCAACTGGTTGCAAGGTATGGCTAGGACAAAAAAGTTTGGGTGATATTGTAATATACCGCAAAACCCTATTCTAATTATTAAGGCCCCTAATAGTAGCACCATTAAATGTCAAGCACGAAATATTTCGCTAAGCCAGTAACAAGAAGAATAATCGGACGAATAATAATAAGCAGAAGAGTCATAGTCGGTATTTTAAGAATAGTCATAGTAATAGTAATGATATTACTGATATACCAGTCATCGTCATCCTCATCATTATACCACCACGACTTCCACCACTACTCCTCCTGCTGCTGCTACTACTGCTACTGCTACTACTACTACTACTACTACTACTACTACTGCTACTACTACTACTACTACTACTACTACTACTACTACTACTAGAACCATTATAAGTATACTACTATTGCGGATAACAACAACAGTTAGTATTAGCAACTTTACAACACAAATAGCAACAACCATAATGACGCACATATATTAGCCAAATGAGAAAAGTAACACCACTACCAACACTTAACCACAGTAACCACGGAGTTCTTACCAATAGCAACAACAGAACAACAAGAAGCCATACGCCCAGACCCTAAGATGCGCTGCCTCTCTTTTGGGGCTCAAGGGGCTGTTTCTTCCTTCCTCTGTGCGCACGCCGCCCTCCCCCGGGGCACGCCGGGCGCGCGCGAGTGACCATGGCTATAGCTGGCTTAAACTTAACCGGCCTGCTTCCAGATGAGAGGTGGCCGGGGTTTGGGTTGTAGGGTTTAGGGCTGAGGATTCAGAGTTCCCGGTGTCGTTGTAACATTGTAGCTAGTGTTTATAAGCTTCTGCTGCCGTAGTTGTGGTTTGGGCAGCTAAAGTTTGGGGTGGAGCTCTGAATCGAGCGGATGTCGGTGTACCAGGTTTTGGGTTTGCAGGGCTTCTGCTTGAGACCCCCCTCCCCCCAAGCCCCTGGCCTCTAGATCCCACTTTGTACACCTCTCAAACCCCTAAACCCTGAAGACCCTCCAAAAATGTCTGTCTTCTTGACATCGACGTAGCGACGTTTTTTTGGTTATTGGAAGAAGTCAGTTCGCTGAATCGCCCCAAACCTAGATGTTGAGACCGTTAGGATTTCGAGCCTTACAAATTCAAAGAGACATTGATACCCGAATACCCGAAACTCCGGAACCCCGAAACCCTAAACTACCGAGAGCGCCGCTGACCGTTTGCATGGGCGCTCGAGGCTCCGACCGAGGCCCCCAGCCGAGCGTCTCGTCAGAACGGTGAGGGAGGGGAAAGACGCCTCCCCGCTCCCTCTCTGGCGTCAGGCCGTCCCAAGCCCCACACCATAGAGAGCCACAGGGGCTTTCTTGGTGTTTGTGATTGGGGGTCTTGTGTGGGGTACCCTCCGGAGTGGCCTGGGCACAACCGGTCAGATTTCTCCAAAACACGGCCCAAAAAGGCTTCTTCAAAAACTTCGATTCCATAGCTTGACATTTCAGTCGGGACAGGTGCCTTGCCAGGTGCCCCCTTTTCTTTGTGTGTACCTGCTAGCCTTCATTTGCAAGGTCGGCCCAAACTTTCAGGGTAATATAGGGGCCTTAATAATTACCAATAGTATTTTAGGTGCTCCTTGTTATATTTACAGTACAACGGAGCCCAAAACCCGATTCTAATTATGAAGGCCCCTACATTAGATGTTTGCACTTCGAGCGACCCTCAAAGGGCGCGAGGGGCGGGTTCTCGTCCAGCGGCCGGCACTGACCGCGAGGACCCACAACCCGACACCAATTCATGTTAGCTGTGGTTTGCCATGAAATATGGTCGAGTTATGCAGCATGTAGAACTGAAAGGAAGCAGGGAGCAAGAAAGCCCTCTTCCTTGAGGGGTTGCGGGGTTAGCCCTAAACCGTAACTGAGCATTTTTGGATCGGGGCGGGACTACATGCTGGCGCGCGATAGATGGGCGCGGCGCGCCCCATTCTCAGAGAAGCTCACCCACCGTTCGCACAGTGAAAACACACCCTAAGCCCTAATACCCGTATACCCTATCCTTTGAGTACCAAAGCTCGAAACACAAACACCCTGATACGTACCCTGGGCCCTGAACCCTTGGAGCAACCTTTTCGAGCTGGCAACCTGCAAGCCAGGCCAAAAGGCTTCACAAAGGTACATATGTACGTACATATGTATATATATATATATATGTGTATATATATATATGCATATACATACATACATTCATTCATTCATTCATTCATACATTCATACATACATTCATACATACGTACACATGTGTGCAAAAACACAGCCAGCAGGTGGATAGCGGAGATGACCTTCGACGCAACCGATGAGTGCAACTGGGTCCTGGAGTGCTGTACTTTAATGTTTTTTGGGGGCCTGTTCCTTGGGACAACCATTATGAAACAAAGGTCTGTATTGTTTCTCCTCGGTTACTTCAAAGCCCAGGTAAAGCCGAGCGCGGGCACCACCGTGCAGATGTCATGTGCCTCGGCGCTGGGGTCTTGATACGAATTCCTCAGGGCTCCTCGGTATCGTCATACCCTAAGCCCACAGCCCCACTCTAATGATTAAGGCACCATACTCATAGGGAAGTTGGGACCTACAGTGCTACGGCCTGAATTCAAGAACCCAGTGATAGAGCCTAGTATAATTCGAAAAGAGCTTGGGGGTATATTATGCTATAACTATAGTAAGGAACCCCCAAAACATGTGATTACTAAAACCCCTACATTAGATTTCAACGAGCGAAGTGAGAATGATCTTCGACCATACCCCGTCTTTTAACCCAGAGCTTCGGTTAGGCCACGCCAAGGGTGTCGGTAATGCAGAGCTCGCAACGATTAGCAATAGTTTTCCTTATAGATTCGTGCTGTAGTACGCACCACAACGCAATTCTTATGATGATTATGGCTGTGATGTAATGATTGTTCTCCTTCTTCGTCTTATTCCGTCATTGTATACCATACAGTACTGTTGCTATTCTTGTCATTACCATTATTGCTTTCATCATTAGCATCATCATTTTTTACAGGATGAGAAGCACTTCCGAATCCATCTTCCTGCCAGCTTCGTGCTGACCTGCGCCGCGCGCATCGTGCAGATGCAGAGCGGATTTGCGATGCTTGAGCCACGCGGCAGCACTCGTAAACCAGACAGGTTTAGGGTTTAGGGCAGCCTGGCACCCCTTTGCGAAGGGAGACCCCAGAGGAGAGTGCGTGCATGGTTCCAGAACCCCGGTAGCAAAAACGCACAAGAACCCTAAACCCTAAGCTCCCAAACTCTGTCTTAAACCCCCAAACTCCTAAACTCCTCAACCGTGAATTCCAAATCCTAAAGGGAGCCCGACATCCAACCGGATGAGTCTTGCAGGGAGGCGATTGGCTCCGGCATGGTTTGGTTGTCCTAGGCCGATGTTGCATTTTTTAGGGTTTAGGTTTTACAGGGCTTGGGTTTTAGAGCACAGGGTTCAGGTGATTTACAGCGTATATAGGTTTCAGAGGTTTAAGGTTTAGGGTTAGTTGATTGATATGAGTTGGCAGGCATAGTTTTCCCTTTGCAATGTGCTGTTGTGGATAGCCGCAGGCCGACGTTCTGGGTACAGTTTACATGATGCGCACTGTCGTGTCTAAAGAGACTAACTGTCGGCGCAGTCCTTTGCAAGAGTGTGCCGAGTGCAGATACATAGGACATAGGCTGGGTTTCAGTCGTGGGAGGCGGGTTTCCCGTTTTGGGCCATGCCACAAGCCTTAGTTCCCCAATACCCAACCCTTAAACTTTTTGAGTTGAAATAATTTTGTAGTAATCTGAAAGTTTAACCCTTTATTTCTCTGGCTTATTGGGGAAGTAAGAAGCACTCCACCCAAAACCCTGCCATCCCCCCTAAACCCTCGTAGGCCTGACAGAGCGAGGTCAGCATATCAGCAGCCGAACAACGCAGCGAACATCATGATGAAGAACATGCTCGATCTGTGCATTGGTGGCTCGACTCTCCAGTGTTTCCACAGCAGAATTCGAAATCAGGAATGGATTTCGAGTTTGGTGTGGACTGGGCAAGCAGAACTCCCAAGAGCTGTTCTCCGATACCCCGGAGACAATGCAAAACCTAGACACTAGGGGTGCCCTGAAACCGTCGCCGCACCAAAAAGTTAATGAGAAACCTTGAGGTGTACTGGCCTTTTTCCTATTCGGGTACTACATCGCCTATCACGACACGCACAGCCTGAACGGCGTGACTGCTGCAAAAGTTCCGGTGATCAGGGATGGAGCCCTCATCTAACCCCAAAGGAACCCCCAAAACCCCAACCCGAAAGCAGGAACCCCCAAAACCCCAACCCGAAAGCACCAAAGTGAGCAATGATTAGAATAGGGCTCCTTTCAAGGGGTTCCTTCAAAGGGTCACCAAAAGGGTTACTACAAGGGCTACTATAAGGGTTTAGGGTATAGGGGTCTTAATAAGTGCTGGTTGTCTTCGACTTGGTCGTCGCGGTCGTCGTCGTCGTCGTCGTGGTCCTAGTTGCAATCGCAGTCGTACGTCGTAGTCATCCTATTGCTGTAGTACTAGTGTTGCTCTTATAATGTACTAGTAAAGTTACTAGCATCCCTCTTATTCTTAATACCAATACTCCTCTAAATATTAGTACTAGCCTTCCTCTTGGAAGCAGCAGTGCTAGGAGTACAGGTCGGCTCCTGGTTCAAGCCGGCTGCCGAGTTGAAGGGGGCCGAAATCTGGGCAAGTGGGTTTTCATGAGCCTGAGCTATATGGGCAGTTGTCAAAATTATGGTCCCTTTGGGCCCTTTGGGGGTATTTTAAATTATAGGTGCCGTATTATAATAAGGACCCAAAAAGGGACCCTAATTTTGACAACCACCCATATAATGTTCTCAACATCTATACCCAGACCCCAAAATCTATGTAGAATAACAGTCTTGGACCACTAGTTTACTTATTTTTGAGGGGGTTTAGCTATATAATCTTCTAAACCTCTATACCTGGACCCCAAATGCATGTAGAATAAAAGCCCTTTAGAGGTCTGGGTTACTTACTTTGGGGTGTTTAGGTCAGCCCCGAAGGCAGCCCGAAAGCCTAAGCGGAGGCCTGGCTGATGCTGGAACCGATCTCGCGCACTTTTTCTGCACGTGCCGCGGCAGTGGGATGGGTCTAACGGTGGGATCCGGCGGTTTCGGACGGTTTCGGAGCTCAGAGTGGTGCTGTAAGATAGGCAAGGCCCTAAATAACCCTAAACCCTTAAATCCTAAACCCCAAAGCCCTAAACCCCAAACCCCTAAACCCTAAACCTCTTTTCGGGGTGTAGGAAGTTTTAGGGTCTAGGGTGTAGTAGAGTTCTTGTGAGGCTTCTACATACCCTGATCGTCAGGGTTGTGTAAGGTATCGTACTTAGTTCTCCAATACCCAAACTTGGGGGGTTTAGGATGTAGGTGTCTAGAGCTTAGGGGATTCGGGGATTCGGTTTAGGGTTTAGGGTGTAGGTTCAATCATTATCTTAGTTCTCCAATACCCAACCTTTCAACTTCGGGCTCCCATAATTAAGTAGCAACCTGGGTTTAGGGTTTAGGGTTTAGGGTTTAGGGTTTAGGGTTTAGGTTTGACCTGTTATTACCCTACTTCCTTGGAGAAGTAAGAGTAGGAGCCATAGTAATGAGACTATAGGCTTTAGGGTTTGCGGGGTTTGGGTTCAGGGTTTCGGGTTGGGGTTAGCAAATAAGGTCCAACGTACCCCAAGTTGCCTGGCATGCCATGGTTTAGGGTTTAGGGCTTCAGGGTTTTCGGGCTTTAGGGTTTTGGACTTTAGGGTTCTAGGGGTTTAGGGGTTTAGGGTTTAGGGTTTAGGAATTAGGGACGCTAAACCCTAAACCCCTGAGGCCCTAAAGCCCTGAACTCTAGAACCCTCAGCCCAGGAACCTTGCAAACCCTAAAGCCCTCACGCCTAAACCCTTACAAACCCCATAGAAAACCCTCCACAAACCCTGGCAACCCCAGAATCCCCCGAACCCACAACCCCAAACCCCAAGCCATGATGCGAGGTTCTCCTATGCTACTACGGCCGCGACCATCAACAGTGGCGCACCTAGGTTCTTGTTAAGCGATTTATTTTAACTTACCATAAAGAGGGGTCTATCGAAAATAATTTGGTTTCTTTATGATGGTAGCTGAAATTAGATCCCTTAACAAGAGCCCAGGCACTGGCCGGGCGAGTGGCGTTCTTCCCCTACTTGGCGGCTCTGCCGAAGTTCGGGTGAAGGGATTCAGGATGTCCTGTGTCTGTTTTCCACGTTTTTACATATCCTAAACTTTAACCCCTAGACTGCCCTAAACCCTAAACCCCTTAACCCCAAACTGAACGCTAAGCCTTCAACCCGAAGTATCGCAGTCGGAAAAGAGCCCTTTAAAGAAAACCTAAGTATCATCACTTGCACAACTTCGGGTCCGATCCTGCAAACACACGGCAAGCAGCCCCCGAGCAGCGAATCCTAGCGGACGGGGCTGTAACCTGGAGTCCTAAGCAGTTTAGAGTTTAGGGAAGGGTGTGCAGGTCAGAACACATCAGGGCATGCATTGTTGAACGTCCACAAGGACTAACCTAGGGACCGATAATAATTAGAATGGCGCTTTAGGGTATATATTATGCTACTCCGACACCAGGGACTATCCGTTATGTAGGCGTCCATACTATCGCGGACTTTCTCATCTTCATTAAAGTTGGCTACTTTGGGAGTTCCTTACTATGATTCTAGTATAATTTTTCCTCCAAAGCCTATTCTAAGTATTCAGGCCCCTACACCCTAAACCCTTATAGTAGCCCCTAAACAACCCTTTAAGGAACCCTTTAAAGGAACCCCCCCCAAACCTTTTTCCAAGTATTAAGGCCCCTATATGATGACCCGAAAACCCTAACCCCTACACCCTAAAACCCTAAAACCCTGAACCCTAAAACCCGAAAGGCCTAAAACCCTAAACCCTAAACCCTAAACCCTAAAACCCTGAAGCCCTAAAGCCCTAAAACCCTAAAACCCTGAACCCCTAAAACCCCTTTCATACAAGGCCCCCCCCCCCACAGCGATGTACACGGCCATGGTGAGGTCCTGTCAACGGTTATGACGGGACTGCTTTATCCGACTCTGGGCCTGCTTTAGGGTTTGGGATTTTTTTTTTAGGGATTTTGGGGATTTTAGGGTTTAGGGTTTAGGGTTTAGGGTTTTTTTTAGGGATTTTGAGGATTTTAGGGTTTAGGGTTTAGGGTTTTTTTTAGGGATTTTGGGGATTTTAGGGTTTAGGGTTTAGGGTTGGTTTAGGGTGTGGAGTTTAGGATTTTAGGGTTGAGAGCTTCAGGGGCTTAGGGTTGCTTTAGGTTTCAGGGTTTAGGATTTAGGATTTTAGGGTTTAGGATTTTAGGGTTTAGGGTTTAGGGATTTTAGGGATTTTGGTGATTTTTGGGATTTTGGAGGGTTTTAGGGTTTTAGGGTATAGGGTTTAGGGGTTTGGAGGGTTTAGGGTTTAGGGGTTTAGGGGTTTGGGGCCGGACCCTGAGAAACCTACCTTTTAAGGGCTCCTTGATCTGATTTCCTTATATAAGTCCTTAAAACTGTCTGGTGCTTAGTAGGGAATGGGGGAATGGATCCCTATGATAGTCCCTTAAGGTCCCTTATAGTAGTCCCTATAACCCATTCCCCCATTCCCTACTAAGCACCAGACAGAAAAGGGGCAGGTCGTTCGGGGTCAGGTAAAAGACATGAAAGTACATCACGCTGAACACGCGGCCCTAAACTTAGCCTCGAGCGTTTGGGTTGGTTCAGGGTATAGGCTTGGTTTAGGGTTTAGGGGTTTCGGGTTGATTTAGGGTTTGCCCGCGAGCCGCACCTGGTGGCTTAGGGTTAAGGATTTAGAGTTTAGGGTTTAGAGTTCAGGATTTCGGGTGTAGGGTCTAGAGTTTTCGATTTGTATGGAGAGCTTGCAACGACAGCAGGTCGGATACGTGTTTGTATACGCCAAGTACGAGAACCTTGTAGGATCCTATTGAAAGACCACTCAAGTCAAACCCTAAACCCAAGACTCTAGTAACACCACCCTAAACCGAAAACCCTAGACCTTGGCAGATACGCTAATTTGTCACATATGCTGGCGGGTCCGAGAGCTATGTATCCCAGTCCCCTTGACTGGGTCTTAACAAATACATAGCACCCCAAAACAAAAGCCTACCTGAAGCCGCATCATAGTTACGTGGGGTTCTATTCTTCAAACATGTTAAGGGGCGTGGAAAGGAGAACTCGCGGGCACTTACTTGAAGATGAGCAGATGAACAGTTTGGCCTTGCAGCCAAGTCAAGCTTTCAAAGAACACTCTCGCACGCATGGGAAACGAGACATGAAGCCCATCCTATGGACATTCCGATCAGTAATAAGACTATCCCTGTATAGTCCCTACTTAAACCTAAACCCTAAACCCTAAACCCTAAACCCTAAACCCTAAACCCTATGCGTGATACTATAATTTACGACAAAACCCCACTCCAACTGCCAAGGCCCCTCTGTCTACTTGTCGCGAAGCTTCGGCACACTCAGACTCCAGGGGCTCCCGCAGCCCCCGAAGCCCGAACCTTATGATGACCTCAAGGGTTTAGGGTTTAGGGTTTAGGGTTTAGGGTTTAGGGTTTAGGGTTTAGGGTCAAATGTCATAAAGGGTGTATATAGGGTTCTTGCATAGGGTTCAGGAAAAACCGTGAAACCTGAAACCCGACCCACACAAAACCCGGACACACACAGGATTTGTGCCTACCTCGCCTGGGGCAATGGCTGGCTGCAAGAGCTGGGATTCGTGGACTTCGCAGGCTCCGTGGTGGTGCACCAGGCGAGCAACCAAGCGGGGGCCAAGTGGTTTTAGAGATGCGGGTTTGGGGTTTAAGGTGTCGTGGAGTTTTGGTTTGGTGCTTTAGGGATTTTTGTATTGGGGTACTTATAAAAGGTTTGAAGATTTGGGGTGCGGCCGTCGTAAGCATGGTGTGTTCTAACAACAACTAGTATTGCTACCACTGCCAGCCCCACCCATACGACTGCTTCCAGTCTAGCTGCTGCTGCCGCTGCTTGCGACTTGCTTGTTCAACTACGCTGCTACTGCTAGTGCTACTGCTTCTACTACTGCTACTGCAGCTGCTGCTGCTAGTGCTACTGCTGCTGCTGCTGCTGTTGCTGCTGCTGCTGCTGCTGCTGCTGGTGCTGCTGCTGCTACTGCTACTGATACTTCTGCAACCGCCAGCGCTACAGCCACTGCCGCAGCCCGCAGTTGTCGTGCACCAAAAGCGGTTCCGGTCGTCGCGGCTGTAGCTGCAATGAGGGATACTAGTGTGACCTGTGTTGGTGATAGTCGATATGTTGTGGCATAGTGGGTCGGGTCGTCTTTGCAGTAGCAGTAGCAGTTAGTCGTAGTCGTGGTGTTAGTAGGAGGAGGAGGCGGAGGCAGGAAAAGGGGGTCAAGGCAGGGGAGAGGGCGGTGGTGGGGGAGGGGTAGTAGTGGCAAGACTGGTAGCAGTGCTTGCACTAGTACTGCTGCTAGTTATAATAGCAGTAACTGGCAGTAGCAGTACCAGCAACTGTAGGCACAGAGCTCTGCGCAGCCGTAGCGGTAGCAGCAGCAGTTTCGGAAGTAGTGGTAGTAGCAAAAGCCGCAAGAAACGGTTGTGATAGCGTTGCGGCTAGCAAGTTCAATTTGCAGCACACCAGCTGAAATTCAACGAATGAGACTTGTTCGACTTTCGCCGCAGCGCACTGCTATCCGTGACGCCTGGCGGGGCGCTCTGACGAGCCTCTCACTCATCAAGCACACCCTGAGTTCCGTGCCGTAGCACCCTTCTCAAACTACCGTCCACCGGATGCGTGATGACGATGGTGATGATGTTGATGTTGATGATGACGACGAAGATGATGATGGTGATGAAGATGCCAACCAAGACGGTGTTGACGTGTCTGACATATGCCCGAGTGCACACTTGGTCGTTTGTTCCTTGAACTCGCTGCGAAGGTAGGCGCCGTCTCCGCACTTGTTTCCACCTGCACCTCGGCCTAGGGTTGAGGTGTAGGGTTTAGGGTTCAGTCGGATGAGCGATTTGAACTTCAAGCCGCGCACCCTAAACTGCAGACCCGGACACATCCCCACCCACTCAAAAGAACCGAGGGCGTAGCGCCTTGATATACGAGTTGTGCTTCAAAAGGGCAACCTTCAGCCCTGTGCCCCAAAGTCGAAGAACCCTATACTACGGTTGATAAGATAAATCCTGCATGACCTTAATAAGGAGTATACAATAATTCCCATAGTGCAGGGTCCTTACAGTACTGCAGGGTTTGTATCATCAACGGTAGCCTATACCCCAGGCCTGGGGCTTAATTTCTTGTTGAAAAGGCCCACGACCCCAGCTGTCGCAGGAAAACTACAAGGGTAGTTCTCTAGATTAGGGTCCTTTTTCGGGTCCCCAATTTTCATTCGGCACACCTTATAAAACGGACCCTAAAAGCGACCCTAATTTAGAAAGCTACCCACAAAGAGGCCAATCGCAGCACCTACGAGAGCAAAATCAATCGACACCCCCACTGTAGCATACCCTATGCCTATGTTGGTGCATGTACCTGGTGTACATACATACATATATATCATACCATATCATATCATATCATACCATATCATATCATATCATATCATATCATATCATATCATATCATATCATATCATATCATATCATATCATATCATACCATATCATATCATATCATATCATATCATATCATATCATATCGTATCATATCG